TAGTAGAATATACCCCAAAGCCCTGTTCTAACTATTAAGGCCCCTAAACCCTAAACCCTTGTAGTAGCCCTTATAGAACCCTTTTTTTGAGCCCTTGAAAGGAACCCCCTAGTCTAAGTATTAAGGCCCCTAAACCCTAAACCCTAAACCCTAAACCCTAAACCCTAAACCCTAAACCCTAGTCTAACTATTAAGGACCCTGCATCAGGTGGTTTAGAGGTTGGGGGTTTGGAGCCTGTGGGCCTTTTGGGAGCTTCTTGGTTCTTCAGGTCGGGCTTCGGATGTAGGTTTAGGGTTTAAGGTTTAGGGTTTAGGGTTTAGGGTTTAAGGTTTAGGGTTTAGGGTTTAGGGTTTAAGGTTTAGGGTTTAGGGTTTAGGGTTTAGGGTTGAGTTTGAGGGGTGCCTGGGTTTAATTGGCTTGAATCCACAGGTTAAGTTAGCTAAGGCACTGCCACAACCTTAAGCCCTAAACCCTGATTTCTAAAACCCTAAACCCCCAAACCCTAAGCCCTAAAATCCTAAACCCTAGACCCCTAAACCCTAAACCCCAAGACTTTACCGGCAAAATATAGGTCCTTTTTGAGCTCGCAGCCCTTGGTTCGTGGCCCAGTCCTGCCATCGTTTCTTCATATTGTGTTTAGGGTTTGGGGCTTTAGGGTTTTCGGGTTTAGGGTTTTAAGGGTTTAGGGTTTTAAGGGTTAAAGTTTTAGGGGTTTAGGGTTTAGGGTTAAACAGCCCGACAGGTAGCTAGCGCATTCAGTCCTGCCCTGAACAATCGGACTTAATAGTATTCTTCGACTGATTTGCCAGATCCGCCTCTTTGCCGCAGAGTGTACAGGTTTGTCGCCATTATTCTGTTACCGTGACGTTGTTACCGTCCCCTAGCCTCAGGCCCAGTCCCTGAAGTGAGCCCTCACCATACCCTAAACCCTAAACCCCAAAACCCTGAACCCTAAACCCTAAACCCCCCTAAACCCTAAACCCTAAACCCTAAACCCTAAACCCCATACCCGTTAGACCCTCGACCCCTCAAGCTTGTTGAGATCCATCAACCGAGGAACACGAGGACTGAAGAGTTCCAAGAGCCCATTCTCTCTGCTTTGGGCGGCTTCTTGTGGGCTTAGGGTTTAGGGTTTAGGGTTTTTGGGTTTAGGGTTTAGGGTTTAGGGTTTAGGGCATTGTAGAGGTTTTACGTGGTTTGGATGGTTTGATGTTGGCTTATTATGAGGTCTACAGTAATGTGGCTTTGTGCCAGTTTTCTGTAGTTCTGCAAAGGTTTATACAGTTCTTGCAAAGATTTGACAAACGGTGTAGGGTTTGGGGCATAAGGCCTGTTCCTGGGGTGTTGTCATGCTGCTTGGTAGAAGCACCAGTGTGTTTTGTTGCTGTGGCTCTTGCTTTTGTTTCCTCCTCTTGCTGCTGCTGCAGCTGTTGTCGTTGTCGTCGTCGTTTTTGTTATCATTGTCGCTGTCGCTGTCGCTGTCGCTGTGGCTGTGGCTGTGGCTGTGGCTGTGGCTGTGGCTGTGGCTGTTGCTGTTGCTGTTGTTGTTGTTGTTGTTGCTGCGGTTGTTGCTGCGGCTATTGTTGCTGCTGTCGCTGTCGCCGTCGCTGTTGTTGTTGTGGTGGTTGCCGCTGCTGCTGCTGCTGTTGTTTTTGACTTGGTCATTGTCGTTCTGTAGTGCAAGGTATGCTTCGCATATACCATCAGTCGCTGAAGCATTGCAACCCCTGGTTGTGATGGCAGCGATGCCCATGATGGTCATATTTCCATTTAGTACATGGTTCGCTTTGTGCTATGCATCTGTCTGGTACTACAGGCCACGTATCACCCTAAACCCTGAACCCTAAACCCTAAACCCTAACGGATGTCGCCTGCCTTGTCTCAACCCCTCCGCTCGGATTTCAGACTGTGGCCACAGTTTGTGCGACCATGGTCATGCCACGAACTCGAATACTGACTGGCAGCTGTGCCGGGACATGTCGGTTGGGTGCAGATTATCATGGCTCCCTAAACCCTAAACCCTGAATCCCTAAACCCTAAACCCTAAACCCTGAACCCCTAAACCCTAAACCCCAATACTTTCCGGCGTGGCGGGATGAGGGTTCGTGGCGCGGGCTAGTTCTCCAAAACCCTTTTGGGATCCTCGGACCTTCGTAAGCCCTATAAGCCCTAAACCCCTAAACCCTAAACCCCTACACCCCTACCCTAAACCCCTAACCCCTACACCCTAAACCCCTAAACCCCAAACCCTAAACCCCAAACCCCCTAAACCCCTAGACCCTAGACCCTGGAGTATTGGGGAAGTAAGCCTCCTCTACCCCGACGCTCGAAGCTGCTCTAAATCTCGCAAGATCCTAATATTAGAGGCCTCAAGAATTACCTATATTCTCTTGGGGCGGGCTCCTTATTATAGTTTTTTTTTGGGGCTCCTTATTAAAATTATAGTATAATGGGCACCAAAGCCGTGTTATTAAGGCCCCTACATTCTATCTAAGACCATGTGTGCGCACTCCTTTCTTAGCCGGAAGATACGCTTCAAATGGAGATAGGGCAAACCCTAAACCCTGCACCCCAAACCTTAGTAGCCAGATGAGTCGCGGGTATCGGGCACTGAAAACGTACCCCGTATCGCCGAATTCCGAATCGCACCTTGGAAACATGCTTCATTTAGTTGTTTGTTCGAGCTTGGGGTTTAGGGTTTATAGTCTTCAGGGTTCAGGGTTTTGGGGTTCAGGGCTTTCGTGGGAATGACCCTAAACGCTAAACCCCTTGATTACGACGCGTTGCTGAAGTCCGTTCGGCTTTGCAGGAGAATCGGCTTGAGGTCGTCGCGGAGCTCAGTGAGGCCATCAGTGTCTGCGAAGTGCCACGCCGGCTCCCCAGAAGTGGGGTGATTGGAAAGTGCTGCAGTCTGTTATAGTGTATGTATATATATATATATATGAATACATATACATATAGGTATATACAATATAAACCTATACATAGATATTACTGTGTACAATATAGCATAACATATTTCTCCCGAATAGTTGGGTTTTCAGGGACTCAGGGCCTGGATTGAGATTGCGATGTTTCGGCAGAAATGACGGTTTAGGGCTTAGGGTTTAGGGTTTAGGGTGTAGGGTTTAGGGTTCCACTGTCCGGCGCCAAACCACCTACATCCCACAGCCTTACTCCCCAAGTCGCGTACATAATGTATGGGCAGTAATAGTTAGAATAGGGCTTTGGGGTGTGTTATAATATAATTATAGCAAGGAGCCCCCAAAATACTATGGGTAATTACTTAGGCCCTAACATTAGTAGGTTTGCCGACACCGAAACCCAACCTGAAGGATTCCACCCTAACTTCCCAGACACACCAATACTATTAGGGATCCTATTAGAATTTAAGGTATATTCCTTATTACGGGGTATTGGAGTCTCTGGGTTCCCCAACCCTTAGAATCTTGATGCTCCCCCCGAGAGCTCTTGACCACCCAGGTCTCCGCGCCATCATTGCTAAAGCCGAGGGTTTCGGCCTAGACCACGCCGATGACCTTTCCCTGCTGCAGGACGGTCGAGTCAAGGGATTGGGGTTTTGCGGCTTAGGGATGAGGGTTGAGGGTCAAGAGTTGAGGATTTCGGTTTTGAGGTTGAGGGTTTAGGGTCGAGGGTTGTGCTTGACGCTGCTACCGCTGCTACAACTAGTGCTATTACGACGGCGACGACTACCACTACCAGTTGCTAGACCCATGAACCCAAAGCGTATCAGCCTGAGCACACACGACAAGTTGGTTTCAGGTCCCATGCGTTACCCTCAACCCTAAACCCTAAACCCTCCACCCTAAGCCCTAAACCCTAAAACCCTAAAGCCCTAAAGCCCTAAAGCCCTAAAGCCCTAAGCCCTAAACCACTAAATCCCTAACAACCTCAAACCCTAACCTAAACCTGAAACCCTTCCGGGGAGCCTTGAAAAGGATGCCATCAGCACCATGCAGAAGGAGCTCTGGCCCCAGGCAAGGGCAGGCCTCGAACAGGCCGGGAACGGGTTTAGGGTTTAGGGTTTAGGGTTTAGGGTTTAGGGTTTAGGCAGGCTAAGGGGCCTAAAGAATTAGAATATGGTCTAGGGGTAGATTATTCTATAACTAGGGGTAGATTATTATACTATAACTATAGTAAGGAATCCCCCGACACTCAGAATAGGGTTTAGGGGTAGCTTATACTATAACTATAGTAAGGAATCCCCCGACACTTAGAATAGGGTTCAGGGGTAGATTATATAAGGAATCCCAATTCCCCACACTTAGAATGGGGTTTAGGGGAATATTATACTATAAGTCTAGTAATGAACCCCCACAATAGTAGTCTTCTTCTTCTTCGGACTTTGCAGCCGTGTGCGGCGCGTCGCTCACAATAGTATTGGTAACTCTTTCGGCCCCTACATTAGTTGTGGTCGCCCTGGCAAAATTTTTCAGAGCAGTAGTGAGAGCTTTCGTGGGTGCCATAGTTCCTAGGAACATTGACAATAGTACTACCTTAACCTACCCAAACCTAGTTTTTTGTAGGTTCTTGTTATAAACGCTAGTATGGAACTTATAGGGACCCTACAAAAAAGTAGCCTTTGGTAGGTTAAGTTACGGTTACAAGACCCAAGGATCCTCCACAAGAGGAATCTTCCTTCAATTTGGGAAGGGATCCTTCATAGTTTGGGGTTTAGGGTTTAGGGTTTAGGGGCCTAAGCAATTACCAATACTATTTTGGGGGCTCCGTATTACAATTATAGTATAATGGCCCCCAACACCCTATTCTAATCATTAAGGCCCCTATATTATTCGAACCTTCACCAAGGAATCTGGTAGTCTCCAGGAATAGCTGTCGCGTTGCCCTTCGCAGCCCTCTCCACCTTTGTCTCAGAGGCGGTCGACAAGCGTGACATCACACTTCTGCGCGAGGCACTTGCTGAAGCTGAGACGGTGGGCCGGACACTCAGATAGGTTGACCGAATTAATAATGACAAGACAGCAATGCCAGAACATACGCTGTTAACTAAAAAGCCATCATTGTGAAAATTAAAGATGACAATAATGATACTACGATTGAACAACGAAGAATGTGACTGAAATAGTCTAGTAGCACCAGTATCAGCAAGATCACTACTAGTAGGTGGTAGTAGTAGTAGTAGTAGTCGTAGTGGTAGTAGTAGTAGTAGTAGTAGTAGTAGTCGTAGTAGTCGTAGTAGTCGTGGTAGTCGTAGTAGTCGTAGTAGTCGTAGTTGTCGTAGTAGTCGTA